CTCTGCATCCCTCTGCAGGTAACACACCGGTCTGGTTATGGGTTAGTTTCTTCATTTGGGATGTTTGCATTTACATCACTTGCACAGACATAATTCATGCATGCATCACACACAAACCACTGACTATGTCCTCTCACAACCCCATTCTGGTTTGGCTTTTAATTTGGTATAATTTAAGTGAATAAAGAAGACAAGCTTTAATTTTTGAAACTTGGCGTGTCTGTCCTTGACCTGGTATCCGTATGCGTGGACATCACATTTTGGGTTATATTACTGCAGTAGTTAATTTTTTAAATTTTTTTTATTATTTCTATTTTATTATTATTGTTTTCATTATTTTTTTTTTAAATTATTTTTTATTCCTCTTTGTTATTTGATCAGATCAAAGAGAAGAGAAATAAAAAATGCATATCAAGCAAGAGCTCAGGTCTTAAGCAATTGTATTCCTCTCTTGGATGATGTTGTTCACAGCAAAACAGAACAATAATAAACAGACTAAATGTTTCACAAATTAGAAACTGTGGTTTAAAGAATCTTTCACTTCTTTGGGACAATTGAGCCCAAATCTGACATGTCTGTATTTAGCGGTTTTAGATCTGGACCTGGTCTAATAGGACGTTAACACGAAAAGAAGTTGATAAATCTCCCGTTTTGCATTTTCACATATTAAGACATCATTCACTCTGGTACAGTCTAGTCCAGATTGCACTCATTATATTGTGGTTTTGAATGTGTTCCAGGTCTAAAGTGGTTCAAATGCAGGAAAGAAAAAAAAAAAAAAAAAAACACAATTTTTTTTTTTTACATTTTCACAAATAGAAAAAAGGTTCCACAATTCAGAAACTGTGGTTTGAAAGGATCTTAAGCATCTCAGTGGTAATTAAATCCAGATTTGACCAGCCATGGTGAAATCTCCCTTTTTTGTTTTTTGCATATTCACAAATTAAAAAGTGGGTTTCAGAAAGCATTAACAGTTTACTCAAAATGTCTGACATAGTTTTACATCTTTAAATGTAGAAAAAGACAGAGAATAGGTCGCTCAGCGCTGTAAGTGTCTTTTAAATTTTGCCTTAACTGCAGAACTAGAAGCTAAAAATCAGAAGTCAACTGTCAGACCTCGTGTTCTGCTTCTCTGTGCGGCGTGTGGTTAATGACATTAACAAAATGTGTATTACAAATAATACAGGAATTAAATGACTGCATAAAAATGCTTCTTCCTTTATTTGTTACCATATTTGGAGGGAAATAATCTAACCGTCATATGGCAGCTGTATTGTATGTTATTGTGCATTTGTTGTTTTCATATGTCTGTGATTTTGATTACTTATAGGTTATATTTCTATGTTTGCTCATCTTCTTTAGGCCTTTGTCTTTGTCTCAGTTGCATGTCTATGTATTTTCCTTTAAATTTGTTCTGTGTGCAAATACATCAAGAGCTACTGGATCTGTGCCCAAATTCTTGTACTTTCTTGTGTATATGTCTCATAACATACTCTGATAATAAAGGTGATTAAAATCAGTGTCCTAGACTTCAAATATTTAGATTAGCTTTAAGAAAGTAAATTATTTTAAGTGCATCTGTCCAGATGATTTAGTGGATAAATATAGAATTCTAATAAATTGGTTATAATTCAGTATCAAGCTACTTGAACTATTTGGCTGACAAACAGAAATGCAGACCCCTGTGAGAAAACACAGCACAGTGCATGACTAGGAGTGTCTTTACATTAATGGCATTCTTGGAGTTTGGAGTCCAATAACATGACCACCCTGCACAGAGCACAAACCATTCAAATCTTAGCGTGAATTGGGCGACTGACAGGCAGATCTCAGCACCCAACGTCAGAGCTGAAAGTCACGATTTTGAGGCTGAATGAGAGTAAATCACTGCAGCCAGGTTCAAAAATGTAGTAAAGAGCCTTCCCAGAAGACTGAAGCCTGTTATAGCAGCATGGTAATGATCCTAGTTTTGGAAAAGGATGTTCAAAATCCCATGCTGTGCCATCCGTCCACAGAAGAAACGTTCTACTGACTCATAACTGAACTTTCTATTTGGTTCTGAATATATGAAGGGCTTCAAGATGTAGATTTAACCTCAAACATTGGGAAGCAACACAGCATGATACACACTGTAAACAAGATGGTAATTAACTTTGTCCACATGATAAACAAAGCCTCTGAAAGTCTGTTTATACATTATGCATGTGTAACTCGGAGCTCACTACTTAAACCATATTGCTGTTGTCCCAGTAACCCATCTCTGCTGGAGGAAACGTTATCAATCTGCAATGTGGTAAAAAAAAACCCAAAAAAAACAGCTTTGGCCAACAGAAATCCACACGAGTAATTACAGAAAATGTATTCAATATATTATGTGGTTATTAGGGCCACAATATGCTGCTATATGTAATCAATTCATTACAAGCATGTGAGGATCTTTGTTCTGATGTTGCCCAAAAGCTGCTTCTAAAAGATCCAAAACAAGAGCAGCGATGTTTGACTGATGGATGGAAAACTTTCCTTCTTTAAATATTAAAGCCTCACAATACATGTAAAATTAATGCACAGCTGCCACATTGTGCTTTCTTACAAGAAAAAGGCAAAAGAAAATTAAGCGAGGACTGGCTTACCACCATCTAACGAACTCACTCTTTAATATTTTAAGGCAGCAATATGATCTGAAAGTTTTTGCAGATGTGGTCCAGATCCAGAGCTACATGACGGCAACATGTTCTATATTTGAGGGCATGTTTGTATGGTTTTTATGTATGAGCAGACGAAAACATTTCACACCATTTAGTTTATATATATATAATATAATATATATATATATATATAAATGCATTTATTTAAGTTAATCATTTCTCCTCATTCAAAGTTGAATTTCTGCAGTATCTATAAAACAGGGAACAGTTAGAAGCGCTGTACAGTCTGACAACAAAACTAGGAACCGCGGCTGAGTACACTGTGTATATATGTACATACTGTACACACACTGATGTAGGTATATACAAAAATATACACTTTTACATATGTGACCCCTCGTCATTCAACAAATCCACATTCCTCTTAGAAAACACACTCGTTCGCGTCCCTCCCCACCGATCACTGCTCCGTCTGGTATCGATCACTACAGGTTGATGAGACTTTTACAGTATATGTTCTTATGTGCATGTTCAGCCCCTCGTACTCACTCGCACTGCTACAGTCGCTTTGTAGCAATAGATGGAGAAGCTTAAGCAGTCCTGAGCTGGATGTCTCAGCAGGGCTTTTCACATATCAGAGAGGGCTTTTCTTCTGTTAATCCTAAGAGGGGATTTGAGGTGGGTCGAGAGGGGAAGACGTCCCGGCTGCAGGACAAATCATAACCTAACTCTTATCCCTGTTTAAAGGAAAAGCTGACAGAACACAAAGCTTGACCTTCACGCCTCCTCTTTTGTTGGACTCCATTAAAAAATAAACCATTGATTGTTTCCCTCCAAAACACAGCGAGTATGAATAAAGTCCTGCCGGCTCAGTGGGGAGGATGCTCTTGTTTACCGACTGGTGTGCAGTTATTTTCCCACTTTTAATGCTAAGAAAGACGCCCGTCTGCAAGATTGTCAATACTCTTCTTCTCTTTGATTAATGTTTTTAATGATTCCCAAACACACAGTTGGCTCCATCTCAACGGGCCTTTTGCAGACACTCAGGCTTAAACGCATAACAAATGCTCACAAATCTAAAGACGTCGGGGGGGTAAAAAAAAGGAAATAACCCACTTATCATTCTAAAGCTGACACCAGATCGGTGGCTAAGAGCAGTCCTCCCCATGATGTCTCCCACAGCATGAACTGAGCCTGGAGGGAACAATAAGAAACACAACATACTGTAGGCAAACCAACACTGAATTACTGGGACTCATTGTCCACTGTCCACAGACTTTTACCCCTTTTCTCATTCTTCCTCACACAGAAAACTCAGGAAGGAACTTTGGCACATTGTGCTAAAGATGTAAACATTTAATCATCCAATCAAAACGAGGCGCCGGACTCCTTAATTATTACAGTCGTTTCCTCTGTGTATAACATAAAAAGAACAACAAAAAATAAAATAGCAAAGTTCTCGTCGTCACAAGAATAAGACTAGTTTAAAAAGAAAAGGCTTTCCAACAATTTATTGTTCCGGTCACGCAGGTGTGTGCAGTTTGGTTCTCGTGCCTGTTCTGTGCAGGAGCTACACTCGTTTCCACCGCCCGAGTCAAATCAACAGCTTATAAAACAAAAAGACAGGAAAAGAAGGAAATCTGAAACTCTCCGGTTGTGAAGTGTGCATCAGAAATTGACGACCTCAAGTCACTTTCTTCTTTTCTTTCTCAGTTGGCCAATTGTTGCCCAATAGAGGGCGCTATGCACCACAGAAAACATCAGTACGCTATTATTCTTGTCTCAGATCCTCCCCATCCCACACTGACTGAGGAGCATCAAGGTTTACTGAAACATCGATGCCTGGGAACGGCTGAATTGTGCTGAGGAGGTTGCAACATCCTTAACATTAATCTAACCCACGAACAGATCCTCATATGAACCCAGTGGAGATCAAGGAAATGAATAATGCACCTTATCTGTCCCAGAACAGCACAGATGTTCGATCTGTCCTACAAATGATCTCGATGTTTACACGGATTCAGAATCGGCTGAATAACCATCATCTATGAGAGCACCCTTCCTGCAACATGTGAAATAAAAAGTCTGATTTAAAAAAAGTTCAATATCTCAGGAGCTCTGGTAGCTTTGAAGAGCTTCATGTGCACGTACTGCACCATGTAGTGAGCTAAGTGGGAAATAATATGAATCGGAAGACATGCATCTGCACACCTGCACTGAAATTAAACGTCTATTTGAGGCTTTAAACACACGCTCGAGGAAAATGACATTAACACTTAAATTCCAATCAACTCATGGAGTGAATTCCAACATTCTTCAGAAATTAAGACACTGAAATCGTTTCATATTCTTCTGCATCTTCCAAACAGAGCGGTGGACTTTCCCAGAATCTGAAAGTAAATCCCCTCCTGATTACCACGAAATCTAACCGAAGCCCTAAATCAGATTTGAGTCTTTGAATGTGGTCACCAAGGCAACACAAAACTTTCCTGACGTCTAGTCGATTCTCTCTCTCTTGAACCATATGTGTGGGTCTTGTGCCTCGTAGCACAATGCAGCAACCTATCAAGTCACAGGATAGGCTTTAATAAGCAGCTGCAGCATCAGCTGACCTTCTCAACTCCCCCTCACTCCGCTTCATGATCAACATATAAAACAAGAGGAAAAAAAAAATCTGGTTAAAACAAACAACAAAATGGCAGAAAACAGTGATTTGAGTAGAAGCTGCAAATCTATCAGACAACACAGCAAGCACGACCAGCTGTCTTTGTCAGTTGGCAGGTAAAACTTATAAAAGATCTGAAGAAGCTTCAACGAGGAAGGATGTGAATGTGTGATGTGAACGAGGCAGACTGAGCAAATTAGAGGATATTCGACAGAAGATTTGAAGCTGCAACTTCTTTCTAGTTACTCTAACTAGGAAATGTGTGACTTTTACTAGCTGTCTGCTGTGAAGTGCATCCGTTCAAAGATGTTTTGTGTTAATGTAGTTGCCAAGTGATGAGTCACTGCAAATTTAATCACAAGCAATTTTCCCAACTCCACCATCATTACTCATCAGTGACCAACAGCACTGAAGATCGCAGCAGTGAACACGGAGAGATGATGAAGCCTGGGAGAGACTCTGGTGTCGCAAAAAAAATAAAAAATACAGAAAAGGCATCAGGTAATGGACTTACAAACAGATAAATGTACTGTAAATGGTATCAGTAACACCATCTAGTAACAAAACCTGAAAAAGTGGCACAGTGCTGTGACACCGAAATGCTGTTGCTCTGAATAAAGTAGTTCGCTCAAATGAACAAGAAAAGTGTTTCTACTTTGTATCAGCAAAAATTGAGTTTTTTTCCTGCTTGTGCAATCAGAAAAATCTGCTCACCTCCAGCAGGAACGGAGTGAGGACAAACAGCGAAACCTTGTTTATTGCAGTTGCAAACTTGGGAACAGATGGCTCATCTACCAGGCACAATGGAGGAAAAAAAAAAAAAGATGTTGATGCAAAACACTACTGACTGAGTGCAAATGTGGAAACATGTCGATGATACATGCGGTTAGAAGGAGCTTTTCAGAACACATGCGCAATTCACAGAGTGCGACTGCAGTCAGGACTTTTCTGTTTGCGTGTCATCTGCTCCCAGGCTGGAATAACCGAGGTGTTAGTTAATAAACGAGAGACCTCTGATGCCCGTGTAAATAAACTTTAAATTGTTCCTGTCCTCTTAGAAGTTGCAGGAGGGATCAACGATGCTGAGAACACGAGTAGTGTATGCACAGTAGTGAAATACTCAATCATGCCTATGTGAACTGTAAAATACTGTGTGTCTCATTATGTTGTTATTATGAATGTCACTTTTATCTACCTCTAGAGAGGAAGCTGCAATATAAATCCAGTCTGGGTTTCGGTATTAGACCTCCTACAATGGCAACATAGACGCAGGCAGAGAAAATTATCTAAGCGGGGGAAAAAGAAAAGGTTGGTAAACTGAACTGCTCCACAGGGAGCAGTCTGAGAGCAGCGCGAGTATGCAACGAAAAACTGCGTTAATCGCTCTTCTGGTCTTCCTGAAACCCAACACATCCTTTTCAAATTTGGTTCCTTTTTTTTTTTTTTTGAAAAAGTAAACAAAGAAAGAAAAAAGACTGATAAGAGATTTGTGTGTGTGTGTGTGTGTGTGTGTGTTTTCTTCGGCAACATAGAAGTGTAGCAGTGAGGATGCTGCAGCAGCCAGTGCTACAGCCTGAAGACAGACAGTAAAACCTCCAGGGTGTGCTTCACCACACTTGCTGGTTTCAGGAACTCCACTTCCCAAACAAACCCTCCCCTCTTCCCCATGCAAAGTAGAGAAGCACCTCCCTGAACCCCTTCACCTGCCCAAGACACAAATTGTAGAAAAAGAACTGTGTAGAAAACAAAGCAGAACACAGAGCGCCCTTCTCTTCTGTCCGCTTGGCCTCTCCGTTCTCTGTCGATTGGGTAAACCAATGAGAGCAAGCGAAAGGAAAAGCTCAAGGAATCGAGTCCATTCCCTCCTTCACATCACTCAGCACCCACACCTCCCAGAAAGCCACAACCCGAAGCCTCCGTCTGCTGTTACAGGATTCTCTCAAGAACCAAAAAAAAACCCCAAAACGCTATTGCAAGTCTCCGTGGAGAATTAACAGCGAGAAATTATTTTTTTAAAAAACAAAAACATGAATAAGAAAATAAAAATAATTAGAGTTCTGTTTCACCAGCATTAAAGAAAGTAATAGAACAAAAGAAGAATTCACTGGTCATTTGCCTCTGGAACCATCAATGAAAAAACACTGAGGTATGTAGTTTGAAACAAAAGCCTTTTCATCGCTTTTTATCCTCATCATGATCATCTCTGGCACCATCCATCCACCACATACAGTCTGTTTCCTGTTTACTCCATTGTGGCCTACAAGCCCCTCCCCCAGGGGGGCGTGGCTCATCGTTTTAGGGAGAGAGAGGGGGGGGTGAGGTGGGGGAGAGGGGTGTACGCATGACCGGCTGCACCTCTGCGGAGGAGGAGGAGCGAGAAGGATCCACGAATCCAACGAGTTTGTCTGTCTCCTTGAGTCTATCCATCTTCGCGTCTCAGAGTCTGGTGGTGTCTCTATCCATCAGCCAAGTCTTCCCGGGGTCTGTAGCGCCCCCTATGATTGTAAATTGAGGGTGAACTTCCACTGCTGGTTGAGGCTCGGGCTGCAGACCTCCACAGTGAGGCCGCCCATCCTGGCACTGCGGCTGTCCAGGCAGAGGTTACTGCCCACGTGACGGAGCTTCGAGTTGGACTCAATCTGCTCCCATTTCTGGATGGAACAAACCACAGCACGATGTCAAAAACACAACATGTAGAATCCTGAGTGTCACAGCTGTCCTTCTACTGGATTGTGATGCGTTGCTGTTTTTCTTTATTTGTGTTTTTTTTTACCTGTCTGCTGTCATTCTCTCGACAGCCTTGTAGTTTGATGAGGGAGCCAGCTGTTCTGTCCACCACCGTCAGACAGAGGTCCATATGTTTTACCGATTTATCCTTAGTTAGGGCCCATTCCTTTACAAACAGGAAACATGGAGAACATTAGTATTTATGTTTGGGTTTGGGATGCTCTGAGTAAGCTTTAAGGCAGTAAAAGAACTCTTACATATGCACTGATCACAGAACTTGATTTTTACATTGCAACCTTCTGCTGTGAAGCATCTTGGCTTTAACGTGGACGTTGCCTCGCATGGACCACCCATCTAAACATTACACTACAGATCAAACCGATGGCAGCAACATTCCCTGACGACGGCGGCTCTCGTCTGGCAAGACAATGCACCCCACCACACCGCAAAAACTGCTCAAGACCAGCTCCAGGAACACGATAAAGAGCCTAAGGCATTGACTTGGCTTCAAAACTGCAGAGAACCCAAACGATTTTCTGCCTACATCCTGCTGCCTGACACCACAGGACACCTGCAGAGGTCCGTGGCACGAGGCGGACGAACACAATGCATCTAGTTTTTGTGTTGTGATGGTGTATAATGTCACCCAATATCATGTCCTGATGCAAAGTTTATTTTTTATAACAACATACAACTGCACAGAACATGTTGAAGTACTGCACA